AGTGATCGAAATATCAGCAATGCTTATATATGATTCTTGAAAATGGCCGATGATCAAATCACTGACGAAGCGCCGCTATTATGCAATGAGTCCGTTCAGAGACACGAYGACATAAATAAAAAGTTTAACTCTAAAAATGCCAAGAAAATTGCATTATGCTTTGTATTTTGGTTTATTGTCATCCATTCTTGTATTCATTTGTTTTATGGTAAGTATACAATTTCAGGCAGTATTTAGTTATTCACAACTTACAACTTTTGATTGTATTTTCAAGTATTCTTGTTATAATTTAATATATTTTTATAGCAAGAGATTCCTGCAAATGGCTTCTATCCGACGGACGATACAAAGGTGACATGGGCTGGCAACCATATGGTTGCATGATGCATGAGTATAGTGAATTGTAAGTTTAATTTTGGTTCAGTAATTTTTTTTAGGAATGGTTTTGTAGCTTCAATAGTCTGTACTAATGGCTCATGACTGTTTGTAATTTCACATATTATAATAATATGTCCACAAGACATATCGCTGATATTGGAAGAATAGGTACAATAGAGTATMCATGATAATATAATCACCAGATCACATGATGAATATAGTTTTGTTAATTTAAAATGRAATTTAATTATGAACACAATTGTTATCACAAGCAATTGCAACACAAAAACTATACCTRCTTAAAGTATTTTAAAAAAAGAACATTTTAATTTCAAACAATAAATTGTATAAATATTTTATATTGGACTGTTTTGATAATTAGAGTTGGACTTAAGACTTATTAAAAAACGTTGTGAACTTAAACATTGGTGAATTAAAATCCGATCAAAATTAACTGGCTTATGCTAGAACTGAGGAGTAAAACAATTCTGTCTGTTAGCAAATGAAAATAATTCTTCTACCACAGTTTTGCTTAATGATCAACTGTTATGATTATATAGTTTGAATGGATTTATGCTAACTTTATTTTGTTGAAGAACTATTCAGTGTATTAYATGTCTATACTTTGGTGTGTGAACTGCAAATGTATATCAATTTGTCATATATTTTCTTTTATACGATATTTAAAATATTTAAATTTAATTCATTATTTTATCAATTTATGTTAATCATATTATATAATAATTTAGTTTTATAAAATAGTTTTGTGTTTTTCTTATAACATAATAGCAGTAAAAATGTAAGACGACTAGTCAATACATTATATTGATAAAAATAAATATTTTTTAAAATTCAGGAATATTTAATACATTGCTGCTCTATGTTTGGRATGCTATAATAATTTAACTTAAAAATTGAATAACTGCTTGTTAATATTAAATTATTATTTCTTAATTTAAAGAAGAACATTATTATGTAGGTACTAAAAATGTTAACATTGTGGAGTACGGAAGGGCAATCTTGGAAAATCTTATATTTTATGATCTCCATAAATAATATCAGCCTAATATATATTGTATTAAATAAGTTTGARAATAAGTTTTATGCAAACAAAAGAAACTCACTGTCGTACTGTATCATAAAAAGCCAAATCAAACATCAAGTATAAAATCATTAGATTAAAATACTAATAGTTGATTTGATTA